CCCTTATCCTGAGAGGAAACTCAATTACACATACAGTTAAAACATACTTTCTACCCAACTTTCATATCTTTAAAACCATACATCACATTCACATAAAATTACATATTCACAATCAATCCATTCAGGGGAACAACATATTAAAAAATGGCATGAATCAGACCAGGGGTTCAAAATTTAGTAAAAGTATATTTTGGGCCCTGGCTGGCACATGGATATCCGGCTCAAACAGGTTTTACAGAGCCCTCTATCCTGGAGACAATGGGAAAAGTAATCCAATTATCCAGGGATAGAGGCAGACTCCATTGAGCACACGGTTGCAAAAAGACATAAAACACTTTAAAATACATAAAGTCACCTTTTACACATAACACACAGACATTTCACATATCCCCAGATAGCTGTGATCTGAGCGTACAAAACTACCGAATAGCGCTCAGATCCTATTCACACAGTTCAATTGCCATGGAGCCAAAGTCTTTAACTACACGAATGGGCTCCATGGCATAGCTATCTGAGTTAACACATTTACATAAAGTCTGGTCCATAGTCCAAAGGCAGCAGGCGGGCAGCCAGGCTTCTCCAATGCAATGTGGCGAGATTGCTCTCGTCACACTTCTATTTGACTCTCAGATATGAAGTGCACCCCACTAATGTACTTTTTAGCACCCAAAACAATTTTAAGTTTTAAAACCGCAATGTGACAGCAGTATTTGTCGATACTATTTGACTCTCAGATATGAAGTACACCCCACTAATGTAATTACCCACTAATGTACTATTAATCAACAAAATAAAAATTACTTTTTAAAACTCCGATGTAACCATGGTATTTGAAGCTTCTATTTGACTCTCATCTGTGAAGTGCACCCCACCCACTAATGTACTAGTTTGCAGAATTCTTTCCTAAGCTGTCCCTATCAGCAGCAGTATCCTAATAAGACCGCGTGTGCGTGCGGCGCTACGTGACTCCAGTTTATATATAGAGGCTGGGTCACATGCTTCAATGGCTAATCACAGCCATGCCATTAGTAGGCATGACTGTGATGGCTTCTAAGGGCACACGAGTCAAACGCTTGTTGAAAACGCGCAATTAAATCGCCGAACACCGAACTCCGACCCGAACATAAAGTGATATGTCCGTGTTCGGGTCCGGGGTCCAAAAAACCTAATGTTTGGTACGAACCCGAACTTTTCAGTTCGGGTTTCAACTCTACTAACAATAGACATCACCTAGTTACACTAAAAACAAGTTACTGGAAGCCCACTGTTACAAGTACCCTCTGTCTGCAACTTTTGCTACACTGTGTCTGTGTCAGGGTTTCTTTTCTGTTTTAAACAGCAACCCTTCCTTTTTCTGTGTCTGAGTTTTCAGCTGAGATTAACGATCAGCTCCTTCAGTATGTTGCCACAGTTACTCACCTGATAGTAGTAACCAGCCCTACTGCTAATCAGGCAGCCTATTTAAGCAGCAAATCCCAGTACCTCCTTGCCCTTGCGTGGTTTCCTGTTCCCCACAAGTCTCCTTGTTCCTGTGAGTTCCTGTTTGTTCCTGATTCCTGACTCTGGCCTTGTTCCTGACTTTGCTGCTCTCTGTTCTCCTGATCCTGGCTCGTCTGACTACCGCTTTGGTGCCTGACCCCTGCTTGCCTCCTGGACTTTGCTTTTGGTTATTACTTTATTTGCTATTTATTAATAAAGGTGTTTTTGCATCTAGTTCTGTCTCTTTTTTGGTTCCTGGTCCCTAACAGTCTGTTCCTTTCCACTACATAATCCACGAAAGTACTTCACCAGGCCATTCGTATGAACAAATGACCGACCACCCGGCATATGGAGTGTGCTGCCTATTAGCCGCCCAGAAGCTGCGGTTTCCCTTGTTAACCTTTTTCACCTCAAAATCACAGAACAAAAGGCTGAATGACCGACCACACTGCATGAGGAGTGTGCCACGTATTAGCCTCCCAGAAGCTGCGGTTTGCGGTTAACCGCAGCTTAATTGACGAATGGCTGGGTAATTGTTGTTTGTAAAGATGGCAGTGGCCATCTTTAACTGCCGAATGCCCAGCAGGGTTTTGTCGTCTACCATATGGTACTGTTTTCAGACACTATTTTACATGAACCCCGCTGAGCCCTTCAAACTTTCATCTGTTCGTTTCCAATCATACGAATGCAGCGCTGTTCGGTACTTTCATGCTCTCGAAACTAGACCAATTTATGGGGGCCATAAATACAAATTGGGGAGACCTAAAGTCCTCCCCCGCAGCCCCCACCCCTGAGCGGTGGGTGGGAGCCATAAATAAAAAATGGGGGGGACCTAATATCCTCCCCCCAGCCCCAACCCCTAAGCAGTGGGTGGGGGTCATAAATAAAAATTGGGGGAGACCTAAATTGGGGGGGACCCCCTGTACCCCACCCCTGAGCCCCCACCCCTGAGCCACTGGCTGCTCACTGTTTATTAGACACACCCCTACTCGCTATACCTAATACTAAGTAATCTTTACTTAGTATTAGTAAATGTGGCTGAAAGACCAATTTAGATCTTTCAGCCTTTTGGTAGATAGCTCCCTAATACCACGGCTGCTTATGTTGTTATTTTTAAGTGATTTCCCTATCCACATTTGTTTGCAGGGCACTTGTCCTACTCTTACCCCCATTTTACTTCCTTTTGCAGCCCTCTAGCCCTTTCCAGGAGTTTTTAAGAGCCATTTTTGTGCCAAAAAGTTTGGGTCCCCATTGACTTCAATGGGGTTCGGGGACGAGTTCGGGATCAAGTTCGAGCCCGAACCCGGAATTTTTTTCAAAGTTCAGCCGAACCCGCCGGACCCGAATATCTAGGCATTCACTTTTGAGAAAGCTTCGGCGAAACGCGTCAAGTGAGGAAGAATTTTGGACTTTTAAACAGGACTGGTTTTATAGTTTATTATTCACTTTTTACTTATTGTATTAAAGTATATATATTTTTTAAACTATCCAGTCATTCCTTTTGTCCTCCTTCCTATCCAATACTGCTTTGCTGCTATACCTGGGTCCACTATATCCCAAGGTGGGGATTATTCCACCTGAAATTCTTCAAACTAGAGCAGGTCGTTGCTCTAGTATATGTAAGTAGGATCATCCACTTTTTTTTTCACAATATTTTATATTTACGTACTATACCATGTGGTGTATTTTACTCTTGTTTTTCATGTAACGAATATTTACACCTATAAATTCACCAACGGTCTTGAACCTCAAGAAATCCATAGACGGGGATTATTCCGTCCAGGCTCTTAACACCGAGCTGATATAGCTCCTCAAAGTGTGAGTGTGAATATAACACCTTTGTTCTTGTGGAATTATATCGTTCATACATACTGTACCATTATTTGTATTTTTGTTTCTCTTTTTTTTAAGTTACTCTGCTGGCCAGTATTTCTACAAAACGTATGTACATTTTCTGATTTTTAGCGCTGTTCACCTTTCTATTTTATCTGTCTATTTATCACAAGGTAGAGGAACACCTTGTTGGTGAACTGCTGCTCACCCCTGAGAAGAGAGCGCTTATTATTCTTTTGCACCGAATATCTAGGTGTCCGCTCAACGCTAGTTAGGATAGCTTTATGCCTATCCCATGCATGCTTAAACTCCTTCACTGTGTTTACCTTTACCACTTCAGCTGGAAGGCTATTCCAAGCATCCACTACCCTCTCAGTAAAGTAATACTTCCTGATATTATTTTTAAACCTTTGCCCTTCTAATTTAAGACTATGTCCTCTTGTTGTGGTAGTTTTTCTTCTTTTAAATATAGTCTCCTCCTTTACTGTGTTGATTCCCTTTATGTATTTAAATGTTTCTATCATATCCTACCTGTCTCGTCTTTCCTCCAAGCTATACATGTTAAGATCCTTTAACCTTTCCTGGTAAGTTTTATCCTGCAATCCATGAACCAGTTTAGTAGAAGATACGGTCTCCAGTACTGTGTACAATACTCCAAGTGAGGTCTCACCAGTGTTCTGTACAATGGCATGAGCACTTCCCTCTTTCTACTGCTAATGCCTCTCCCTATACAACCAAGCATTCTGCTAGCATTTCCTGCTGCTCTATTACATTGTCTGCCTACCTTTAAGCGATCAGAAATAACCGACCACCCTGAGTGCGGCTGCACAATTAGTCGACGAGTATGCAGATAGAATGTAACCCCACGACAATTACCGAGCACCAAGTCGACCAGAATTCTGGGCCCCCGTTCCATTAAGTAGACTTCTATTTGTTTGCACGTATTTACCATACAGTGTGTGTGGCGAAACCGACCTCGCCACTGGGCATTGGAGAAGACTGATTGCCTGTCTCCTGCCATGTGACCATTAAGTAGACTTCTATTTGTTTGCACGTATTTACCATACAGTGTGTGTGGCGAAACCGACCTCGCCACTGGGCATTGGAGAAGACTGATTGCCTGTCTCCTGCCATGTGACTATGGCCCCTGGGATGTATTGCCCTTTAAAGACATGATTTGGGCATAATGGATTTGTGTTGTGCTGCTGCTGGCCCTTTAAGAACCATCTGGGGACATACTGGGGAGTTACCCAGCAACAACAAGACAGAACCAGGGGAACCTGTTACCGGTGTCACGAACCCGGCCACATAGCCTGGTGTTTCCCCCTCAAGTCCGACCGGCCCTTAGTGGAAAACCCCAAACCTTCCCTGCCATCTGTTCCTGCATGACAACCCATGGCCCTTTGTGTGGACAAAGAGTCACCCTCAGAGGAATACCTACGGTTGCTACACAAGGCCAATCCTGTATATGCAGCTTCGAAGGATAATCGCCAACACCACAGGCAGGACGTACAATTGGAAGGACAACCAGCCCAGGGGCTAAGAGACACCGGTGCTACCATCACATTTGGTCCATCACCTTTGGTTCAGGGCCATTTGATACCTGAGCATAAGACATCTGGTCAGACGGTAGACGTTCAGGTAGCCAGTGGGACTGTCTACCGGTTACCCACTGCTAGGGTGCATTTGAACTGGGCAGCGGGAGAGGGTCATGTAAACGTGGGGATTATGGACAACCTGCCAGCTGAAGTGGGATCCACCTACTCCCCATCTTATATGAAGGGGCACATCCCATGACCACCCGAGCTCAAGCCAGGACAGAGCGAGCCCCTTCACCAGTGCGGGAGACTCAGGTAAGACTAACCCCGACTGTGACATTCCCCCGTACCATGGGACACTCCCGAGACATTTGGGAAGGAAACTAAGACAGACTCAACCCTCCAGAAGGCAGAGACCGGGACTGGAGGGTTAGACAATGAGATGTTCATATGGGATCAGAACAAGCTGTATAGACTAACAGAGAAAAAAGTAAACCAAAAATGCCAGCTAATTATTCCTGCTAAGTACCGTACTGCGATCCTTAAGATAGGGCATGACATCGCTCTGGATGGGCATCTAGGAGTGACCCGCACATTACATAGAATCACCCAAAGTTTTTCTGGCCCGGAGTACACGCTGATGTAAGGACATAGTGTCGAACCTGCGATATATGTCAGAGGGTAGGGGAGGGAGGAGATCATCCCAAGGCTCACCTAGTGACTATGCCTATCATTGAGGAGCCATTCAGTCGAATAGCCATCGATCTTGTAGGACCCCTTGCGACTCCTAGTCAATCAGTGAAAAGGTATATCCTTACTGTGGTGGACTACGCGACCCGCTACCCAGAAGCGGTGGTTCTGTTTAACATACAGGCAGACACAGTTGCCAATGTGTTAGTACAGATATTTTCACCCACATATTTTTGAAAGCATACAAAACCAACCCTTTAATCCATTACATATGCAGGGAGATCTGGAGAGCCTACCCCTTCAGTTATCCCCTGATTCTGAGGCAGTGTGCCCTGTTCGTAGCTGTCACAGTGCCCGATCGGCACCTCAGTGTGACTACACCTGATCAGTGCAGTCACGCTGTCACGGTGCCCGATTGGCACCGCGATGTGACCGCATCTGATTGGTGCGGTTACACTAAAGGAGGGAGAGGTTACTCACCTTGCCTCCAGCACCTCTCCCTCCGCACAGCTCCTGTGACAGCAGCCGAGTACAGCGTTAGGAAGGAAGCCGACCGCAGCAAGGCAGTGCTATATGATATGAGTGCAGCCCGCAATGACATTACTAGTGACATGAACGTGCGTGCATCATCACGTTTTTGCCGTGCGTGCTAAATGGACATCTAATTTAGCAAATAGCATGGTTTACAGGGCTATTTAAAAATCCATACCTGCAGCTGTTCAGTGCCCTGTCATGGTTTCAATCCTGTTGGTTATCAGAGAGCATCCCATTACATAACATTACTGTTATTTGGTTATTGATCTTGGCTCGGCTTGACTTTCTGTATTTCTGGTTCCCTGACCCTTTGGCTTTTTTCTTTTTTGTTCCTTTTTGTATTTCTGATCTCGGCTCGTGACTGGTTATTCTTATACGTTAAATCCGGCCATTCAAAGTCACAGTAATACATCGTTACTGTTTGTTATTTTGTCCATGTTTGACTTAGTTCTGAGTGTTGGGCCACTGGTTCGTCCTGACAGTCGCCAAATCATTGTGGGCCTCTGCATGCTCGGACATCTTGGTTTTGAGTGTGTTGGTGCGGGTCACCAATTCCTGAAGATCCGCTATGAGGGTGTTGATGGATCTCTGCATTGATGCCTCCAATTTGGCTGTCATGCCGTCCAAAATTGCCTGTATCAAACCCTGAATGAGCGTGTATCGGGTAAGAAAGGTCTGTGTCGCTGCCATTTTGGCTATCTTCAGTGAGCAACAAGTGTTTGTTCACACTAGTTTTTGTGCCAAAGAAGCTTAATTTCTCAGTTTTTCTGGCATGCCTCTTCCCCTTGTGATGTGACATCGTGATAGCGAATTTCAAAAGGTACCAATCAGGTATTTTTATGTGTTAGAGCTGATGTAGCACGGAGCTACAAACATGTGTCTACTCTCAATCATGTCCAGGACATGCCCCAGCTGGTTACCGTCATTAATTCATTTGGGACGTCTATATAGTAAGACAGAACCTTGGGTGGGTGAGGGGTAAGAGAATGTGCTTGTAACGTGGTATGGGTTTAAGACACTGAGGCTGCAAAAGAGAAGATATTAGAGGGTGAAAAAAATGCAATTTGGGAATAGGTATGCACTAGGTAGTAATGGTTCATAGAGTTACAAAGAACAGATATGGAAATTCTGATATAGATACTAGGGCTAAAATATTCTATGTCTAAGCTCAACATATTACATAGAATTTTAGCACAAAAAAAAAATACAATGAAATATACATTAACGCTGATGCATTGTACCGCTAACAGGGCTATCTCACATTATTTATTTTATCATTTTGTTTGTAAAGTACTCTAATTAAGATTAATTCTATTACTCCTGAACCTTCCTGCTTTGTTTAACTGCCTTCTTGACACCATTTTCCTCTGTGGGGAATGTACCACCCAAGCTCTGTGGATTGAGCAAACCATCTTTTGAACCATTAAGTAGACTTCTATTTGTTTGCACGTATTTACCATACAGTGTGTGTGGCGAAACCGACCTCGCCACTGGGCATTGGAGAAGACTGATTGCCTGTCTCCTGCCATGTGACTATGGCCCCTGGGATGTATTGCCCTTTAAAGACATGATTTGGGCATAATGGATTTGTGTTGTGCTGCTGCTGGCCCTTTAAGAACCATCTGGGGACATACTGGGGAGTTACTGGTTGGCCACCATTTCATGTATCAGAGGCACATGGTGAGAACAATGGATGAAGCACATGGTGAGAACAATAGATAGCAGCCATTTTAACTCACAGACACTGTGTGGACTTTTCTACACGGTGCCATCTCGCCGGTATTTGGTGCACAGAGACATCGTGCAGTGGTTTTGGACTATACAACAGGGGACACATTATATAGTAATTGTTTTTCATATAGCCTGTATATGTTCTGCGAAATCTGCATTAAACTATGTCTTCCAAACTACTGAACGGATCTGGGTGAATTTTGGATATGTGCTTTTTATGCGGTTATTGCATGTTTTGGGGTCCCTGTGATGTGTTTTATGATACTGTATTTCTCTGCCTGTCATAATTATATTAACCATTGTGTTCAATAATCACATCACAGGCAGAGGGGAGGATTTTGTGTTGGAGTGTCTGTGTGTATTGTAAGGATTGATTGGTTGTATTTCAAAACCCTGTAGGCAGTACTATGTTTGTGGATTGTGAATAAAAGAGGCTGTATGTGCCAGCACAGTCAGTTCTCCTTGACCCCAAAACGAAGTGTCGTCTCGTTATTGGGGGAATTGGATTGTATGCTGATTGCCAGAAGTGTAAGCTGATTGTATGCTTTTCCTGTTCAGCTGCTTACAGCATTCATATGCTTGAGAGCATTTGTATGCTTCTCCGGTTCGGTGGTTGTGGTGTCTGCTGTAGTGCTTGGAGTCCTCAGGAAGCACTAGGAGCATCCTTCAATGGAGGTACCCAGTCGGGGTGCCAGGTGATCCGTTACAGTGTGCACTATATTTTTGTCTTTTGTTTCTTTTCACACACTATTGGGAGGACTCCAGCAACCTACAAATCCTAGAATGGAGTCCAACTCCAGCAACCTACAAATCCTAGAATGGAGATTTTACCACTCCACATAGTTAAATAGGGGCCTTTAGGGGACACCATCACATGTGAGTGCAATTTAATTTACTTATTTTTATTACAGTTTACTTTGTCCTGACATACTACACTATATAGGTGGCTATTTTCTCTTCTATTAAACACCCACTGGACCACTAGATCTAAATCAAGAGATACATGGCACATCCTTAAGCGTTGATTGTACTGCTTAATTGTATAGAAGCAGGAGTGCCATCAGAAATTTTGGGGCCCCTGACACAACTCAAGGTCTAGGCACCCGGGGGCCACCGCACGTGTCTACCTACAGGGCCCATCCTGAGACAAGGATGAAGTATGTATGTACTAACTAAGGTGTGTGTACAGTGTATGTAGAATGTGGTGTAGTGGATGCAGAGTGCATGTGTAGTGGATGAAGATTTTATGTTTTTTTAATGGTTGCAGTGTGTTAGATATATTGCATGTAGAGTGAGACAAGGATGCAGTTTGTTTGTGTAGTGGGTTCTGTTTGTATAATGGATACAGAGTTTGTGTTTGTGTAGTGGATGCTTTGTGTATAGTCTATGCAGAGTGTATACAAAGAGATGTGGTAGGGCTGCGCCAGCAGAAGAATAAAGTAACATAAAATAGTCCAAAAGAGTCTCACTAGAGCAACAATGCTTGCTAGAATGTAGATGAATAGACTTTGCAGTGGGGGTGGATGCGTCCTAATGTATCATGGTATTCGCATGTATGAAAAACAAAGAGGCAGGGGTAGCCTGTAGGGCAATATGTCTAAAATCCAAAGGGTAAGATAGTAGTAGAAGGTAGAGAAGTCACATTTAAAAGAGCTATGGCCACCTCTGTTGTGAAGGGCATACAGCGGCATAATCCCCGCTGATGGGATATGTGAAGGGAATACGTCTATTAACACCGTCTGGTCAAGGCTCCAAGGGGAATAAAAAGAGGCGACAATATTGCTCTCAATTGGATAAAAGTAAGTAAAAGTAACTCAAATAATACTCACAGGCATAGAGCAGAAACACTGATCTATTAGTAAGGCGTTGGTGGTATGATCCCCACCTGGGATTTCTGTAAGTGCAGGAACAACAGTAAAAATCAAAGAAAGTAAAAATAGTAAAAGTGCATACAAATAAAATAAAAAGAGAATTGGCACAATTACACAATTTAAAATAACCATTATGCATTTCACCAATATAGGCTTTCTCAAATGGTATAAAGAACATACAAGCTGGCTAGTAGGAGTTTAAATAGGGAAGGGATTAGTATAAAATTGGCACCAAAATTGCATCATAGATTGTCATCAAACTAACATACATCATCATTATATACATAATAGATAAGACAAACAGTATTAAATACTGATAGATATAAGATTTAGGATCATTAATGGTGTATTTGATAATAAAAACGAGCCTTAGATGAGTAGTTACGGCTGTTTGAAGCCGGAGCACGTGACGCGCGTAACGTGCACGGCTTAATTAGCCGGCCGCTAGATGTAGTGGGAAATGTAGTTCCCAATATTATGATAGAGAGGTCGGCAGAAAAGCGGCATCTGCCGACCTCGAAATAAAATGAAAATTGATAGCACCGGAGATAGTGTCTCCTAGATGATAGGTAATGGAAAAATATGATGTGGTGGTGAAATACACAAAAATAAATATTAAACCACGGCGGCCACCTTGGTAGGGGAAGATAGTGATAACAAATGCCTGCTATAGGTAGAGTAGATTAGGTGGCCATGTTGGGTGGAGGGGAAAGGACAACCCTGGTTATTAATAAAAAGTTAACTGTACTTAAAAGTGAATAATGTTAGAAAGTGGTGATAATGAATGAGATAAGAATATCTAATAGATGGTGAGATAAAAGAGGACATATATAAAAATGGGGATATATAATTTGAGAGGCATTTTAGGAATTAGGAGAAAGTAGTTATGGTAGGGGTGTTCTAGATCTTAAAGGACCACTCTAGGCACCCAGACCACTTCAGCTTAATGAAGTGGTCTGGGTGCCAGGTCCTTCTAGGGTTAACCCATTTTTTCATAAACATAGCAGTTTCAGAGAAACTGCTATGTTTATGAATGGGTTAAGCCTTCCCCTATTTCCTCTAGTGGCTGTCTCATTGACAGCCACTAGAGGCGCTTGCGTGCTTCTCACTGTGATTTTCACAGTGAGAGCACGCAAGCGTCCATAGGAAAGCATTATGAATGCTTTCCTATGCGACCGGCTGAATGCGCACGCAGCTCTTGCCGCGCGTGCGCATTCAGCCGACGGGGAGGAGAGAAGGAGGATCGAAGGAGGAGAGCTCCCCGCCCAGCGCTGGAAAAAAGGTAAGCTTTAACCCTTTCTTCGCCATCCAGCCTGGTGGGAGGGGGACCCTGAGGGTGGGGGCACCCTCAGGGCACTATAGTGCCAGGAAAACGAGTATGTTTTCCTGGCACTATAGTGGTCCTTTAATGCCATAAATGAAAATAACTATGATTAGAATAGCCCTAAAATAACAACAGGATAGTCTCAAGGGGAATTAAAAGTAATATATTAGTTAAAAAGTATTATTAAAATCTCAATAATAAATAACAGTGATAGATATTCTGACCATTTTAGGTAATACATAGGTAGGGGAATATATACATATAGCATGGTGTACATAATTAAATAGCATCTACGTTAGATCAAAATCTACGTTAAGGCCAGAGGAGGTTAATGTTTTTAGAGTGAACATCCATTCCATTTCAGCCTTGCCCAGAATATTCCTGATTTTGCCACCCCTCCATGGAATCACACATTTTTTGATACTGTGACGAGACCAATCTCGCCACTGTGCATTGGAGGAGCCTGGTTGCCCGCCTGCTGCCTTTAGACTATGACCCCATGTTGAAACGCTTGATTTTCCCCTGCGAAGACACGAAAGTCAGGTCATTCGGTGCGTGCCCTGTTTGAGCGGTGATACCCCAGATAGCTTTGCCATGGAGCCTATTCGTATAACGAAAGACTATGGGAAAGACTTTGGCTCCATGGCAATTGAACTGTATGTGTGTGGTCTGAGCGCCATTCAGTATTAATGTGCGCTCAGACCTAAGCTATCTGGGCATATGTTGCATGTCTGTATTTTATGTCATAAATGTAACCTTGTGTATTTTATTGTATTTTACTGTCTTTTTACTGCCATGTGCTTAATGGAGTTTTGCCTCTGTCCTTGGAGATAATTGGATTACTTCCCAATTATCTCCAGGATAGAAGACTTT